AGATGTCTTAAAACCAAAAGGAAACATTTTTTTTTTTTTTTTTGCAAAAACAAACGACATGTGGATATAAACTCATAGATGTTACCCTGCATTAAGAATTTCGAATCGAACATATGTTGCATTATCCTCATAAGCATCGCTGTTTATCTCACAGAGATCACCCATCTTCAACACGGTTCCCATTACATCTACATATCGAATACAAAAAAAGTAATATTAACAAAACGATACATTATACTAAAATTGTCACAAAACTAACAGATGGTTACCAATATTACCAATTAAAAACTCAAAATCTAATCCGCGAGTCACGATGTCAAAGAAGCGTGTGCAATTGAGATGCAAGTGTAAATTATGGGTTACTGGAGAGGTAGGAATCACGACCGTATGAGGTCCGAAAATAAACCGATGCCTGTTTACGGTTATGCATATCGAACCACTGGCCTTCTTAACAACGAATCGACGAACCCTAAACCAGTAACCTTGTTTAAGTACAGGTCCATGCAGAGCGATTTCATCGGGCATGACAGTTGCACCGATACGATGACCCTAAGATCGACGATTTCGCATAAGTTCAAGTGTAAAATCCAAAAGAAAAATTGCTTTTAAAAAACAACCCTATGAAATATATAAAGAAATAACAACTACATAACGAAATACCCGATCATCAGCGAGAATCATCTCAATTGTATCACCAAAGAAATTCACATTCTTCCAGAGTCGAACAACTTGCACACGAACTTCACCGCCGGTGGTGTAATAATCTAACCTAGAGATATCAACAGCATGAGACATTTTTTTTTCTCTATCAAGAACACAAAAGGAAAGTAAAAAAAAATAAGGAAAGAGAACACATATATATATACGCGTTACATTCTAGACAGTTATTTCCTTTTTCAACCCAATAAATTTATGGAAACATACAACATTGAATATGTATTATTAAAATAAAGATTAACTTATTTATAGGTTTTATTTTAAATGCCAACAACTGTCTGTCAAAGGCGTCCTTTCATCCGTTAATGTACTTTTTCGAGACATTAGCAGCATGCAATATGAGAGAATAAAATCTAATTGCATCTGATATACTAAGCATACACGCAACCGAGATAAGCGAGCATACCGAGTAAAAAACAATCAAAAAATACAATAGTTTCTTCAGTATACAATCATTACATCAAGCTAGGGAACATAATTTTACTGGACAATATTTGTATAAAGCCAAAGAAACAGTTGGGGAGAAGGGTTACTTTGTTGATTATTTTTAACAATGTATATGAGAAAATGGGGATATATATAACACCCAAATAACGGTTATGGAAAGTGTCGCGTGAATCAGTTCATTTTATGTATTCTTCAAAAGATAAATGTTCCATTTTTGGAAAGTTGCAACTTATGATGAATATTCTAGATAGATTATTGGTTAACAAAATTTATTTGTTAAAGGAAAATTAGAAATTTGGTTATAACACTAAACCCTAAACCCAAACAGTCTTGTAAATACAAAAAAAAAGTGTCTAACAAAACTAATAATATATATGGATTATCGATTTTGAATCATTCGGATCGGCCCAAATAATTAGACACATCTGTATCCAGCCCATATAACCTCTCTCTAATCCTGAAATTTCAATAACAAAACGATTTAGATCTAAATATACATTTTTTTTTTCATACGTCAATTTAAACAACACATCGAAATATACTTACCTATTGCGCAAGGTCAAAACCTCATTAATAGGTGAATCAGTGATAAAACGGGACACACCATCATCATCATGATCCTTGATAGACACATTCTCTAAAACATATATATTGGAATATTGTTATGTTATATACAACGATTTTATAAATAACATATTGATGTATCATCAGAGAACATACCCCCGTCAATTGCTACACACCAATCGGTTGACACACATATAGCAAAGGGACCTTCGTATTCTCTACACTTATCTCTTATTTCAGTTGCCAACTCACCATGTGCAACACACTCTAGCATGTACTCCCTATATTTTGACAAAGAATGTAGTTAATAATTAATTAGCTAAACTTCAAAAATTTACAGTTTGGGATATACTTACTCATCATCTATTATATTAAATCGAATTGATGATGTAGTCGTCCCATCCGGGTATGTAATAGTAAAATATCTAGCATCTTCAACGACTCCAATCAAATCTGCGATTGTAATTAGTCAAAATTAAGACATTAGTGCGAACTATATATTTTGCATTATAAGAAGATACCAAAATAATCTTACCAATTAGATAATAATGAGCATCTGGGAATTCATAAATCGAGAGGAACGATGCAAAATTATAGAACGAATTATTTGTTAATGGTAAAGCTGGTGATATCGTTGTTCCCCGTGTAAGTGTAATAACGTAATCGTGTTTTGTAATACTTTGGATATTAGTCCAGTTGTAAGGATTTAAAAGAAATCCAGTCAACATAAACCATTGATCTTCTTCGCATATTTGATTGAAATGCTCCATCATCTGATTGTTTACCCGAGCCTGTATTCTACAACCCTAGAAGTTTATACGATAACATTAGATCAACAAAAGAACAAATTATTGTATGTTAAAACAATAAGCAAAATCAATAATAATTATCACAAATAACATGTTAAGTTAATGAAATTTACTTTTTCATCGACCAGAATGAAATTTAGACTTCGATTATCGTCCGAGTAATCCACCACCCATTTTTTGAGTATTTTCACTATAATTATCCAGTCAGACATTTGAGAGTCCAATTGACGAACAAAATCATAATCCGCCATTGCGTGATGCCTATCGTTTAGGGTTATGCAATTTAGAGCATATTTATAAGAAAAAATGTGATTTTATATTAATATATAACCAAAATTTAAGAATATTAACATTTCAGGATAAATATAGATAAATAAACAATATTATCTTCGAGTAAAATAAATAGATATATATATATATATTGAGATTTTTCTATTTTAAATTATGTTAATATTCCAATTCTCGTTGTTAACAATTATAAAGATAGTTTACTATAAAACCATCTATATATGTTAAATGACAATTTATTGCAATGAAAATTTACATTAGCTAAATCATAATCATGCACATCGTTTCATATCTTCACCCAAGCCTGAAATTAATATTTAAGCATATATGTAAACAATATAGTATCACAAAAAACTATATTAAGGGAGTAGGGTTAATGTCAAAATAATTATCTTACTTTGCCCGATGTGGTTTTGTCTGAATTATCTTTCTTTCTTAGAAATTTATTTTCGTTTGAATTATTTTAAAAGAAAAAATTTGAACAGTTACCATTTAAAGCCACTTTACTGTCAAAACCAACAACAATCCACTAATTTATGTCAAGGCACTTCCATATTGATTGACCGATTTGTTCGTTTCACGTGCCTGGTAAGAGAATATATTCCATGTTTTAAGTTTTACCAAATATACACGCAATCTCAATAATTAAATATACTATTTTACTAAATATAAACTTTTGCTAAATTGCAACACTTTCCATAAAATAATATGATCTCTCTCTATGGCTTATGTTATTTGGACAATTTTATGTTTCAATATTTTAGGAGATGACATATTCATACAACATCGTAACAAAAAATGCCATTTATGTAGACTTTTACGTTATAACTTTATGTATCTAATTGAACATTTTTCCTTAAAATTATATGAAATAGGAAACTTGGAAAGTCAAACAGTTAGTTGCAAACATAAAGTCGCATAATCTTCCCCATAAAAAAATTGAAAAACGTGAAAATTGATTATTATTGCACACCTTATAAATACTGACTTGATGGTTTTTTTTTCAAAAAACTTTAAAATATTTTTCAAGTACCATTATCGTTTCTGAGAGAATTCATAAGAAGATGGCGAACACAAACGAAAAAAAATTTGATGAAAATGGCTTGTTGATCATCAATCCCCCACCATTGGTAATGAGATTTGGTGTCGTGGAACCAAACTCACCACCTTCACCAACAGATTCCGAGATAGAGCAAGAAGAATTATGGGAACAAATACACTTATTCACCGCATCAAATCAGAAAGGCAAACAGAACATTCCTCAGGTAATACATCCTATTCACTAAAGTTTGTTTTAATCATGTCTTACACAATGAATAATAAAATCTGTATATTCTACAACTTATGGAGGATGACAAAGGCAACACATCTAATGAGACACCCCAATCAAGTTGCACAAAACGAAAACACGACCTGATTCTAGATCTGGAGATAGGGTTGAAGTGCATGCGTTGCGGTTTTGTGGAGACAGAAATTCGACACATGGATACCGCCGAATGGGTACGTGATCAGAAATATATTTAGATCTAAATTATGAAAAATTGTCTAAAATCTATGTTATTGAGTCGTTATAGTTTGTTATTGATTGCCCATTGAAATCTATATTGTAGAAACAATCCATATTTAGATATAATATTGAGTTAGTTCAAAGCTATATAGTTTTACAAAAATCTAAATCGGATTGTTTGTGTCTGTGTTTAAAGGGAAAGGAGAAGGAACGAAAAAAGAGGAGATCTGGAGTTTAATCAAGAAGAATATCAGTTTGAAACGAAATTCATGTTTTTTTTTTTCTGTTTGTAATGATCACTTTAAAGACACTATTATGTACTTGGTTTTATTTTCTAAAAAATATTAAGTTTATTTCGATGACATGATAATTTGGTTTTGAAGCATTCTCGATGAAATGTTAATAGATGCCCAATAATATACTACAATTAAACTTTGGTCAAAATATGTTATCGAATAGAGTTTGTCACTGGATTATCCGACTATAGTTAAAAATCAGAGATCAAACCATTAATACATGAGATCCAATTTAGTGAAAAATCGAAAAAAGTAAAATCTATTAAAAACTATAAAACCGAATGTAATGGTCTTATACAATAAAAAGAACTAACATATTTCGAGATACATAGAGACAACATATCACAAAACAAAACACAGTAAAAAGAAATATCATATCTTGTCAAAAACCTCCTTGTAGACGACATTCAATGTTTTGTTTTGTGGTTTGTTGTCTTTATCGGTGATCAATATCTTCAGACCTTCTCTTGATGTAACCCTCGATACAGCGACATAGAGTTGCCCATGAGTAAAAACCGGTCTTGGAAGATACAAACCAACCTTTTCGAGTGTCTGTCCTTGGCTTTTGTTTATAGTCATTGCAAAAGCTAATGTGATAGGAAACTGCTTGCGTCTCATCCTGAAAGGAAGTTTCATCTCCGAAGGAGAGAGGAATATCCTAGGAATCAGTACCTTTTCACCAACCTTGCTACCTGTTATTATCTGAGCCTGGAGAACATAATTAGCCATCTTAATAATGATGAGTCTTGTGCCATTACACAACCCATTCTTAGGGTCGATATTTCTTAGAAGCATTACAGGAGTACCCTCTTTCAACTTCAGGACATGATTAGGGAAACCAGACATCTTGATACTATTTAAAAACTCCTCGGTATAAATCATGTTGTTGGAATCACCTTTATTCTTACTGGCTACACTCTCTGAGGGTACTTCAGATGCATCATTGTAATTGACAACTTCTTCAGTTGTATCAATGCTATCACAGCTAAGATAGGTCCTTTCAACACCTGTTATATACAAAACAACCGTCGTATTATATAAATATAAAAAAATAAACTAAGAGGAATTAAAACAAAATAAACATACCCGATAACTTTGAAAGCATATAATCATTTATCGTATCTACATCATCGTTTCTTTGACTCAGTATGGCACGGTCTTGGAAAAATTTAGGATCAGTCTTTTTCGAAAATGAACTCCCATAAACTTCTTTGACGATCGTTTTTATAGGATCTTTACAGTCTTTAATCAACAGATCATCAGGAATTTCAATCACAGCTTCACCACTACCATCGTCATTTATCGTACCATCACCAATGTCTAAGATCCACTTTGTAAAGGCAGCTCGTTCAAGCATCGCACGGCTATTATCTCCAGATATAAGTCGCATGTTCTGTGTAAGCTTTATTATTATTCCGCACGGCTAAACCCTAAACCCTAAGCGGAATAATAATATGTTATAATTAAACTTTATTATTATAACAAAACTGATATATATAATTATTCTAATATCATTTATTATATATTGCTTTTGCTAAAATAAGAGATAAGTATACCACGATAAAGAAACTAAAAAAAAAACATGGTAAAAAATTACTGACTTCTGATAATCAACCAACAAACCCTAATGCATGGTATGCACTTCTAAACGAAGGATAAACGACTCCACCAACAGTCCTAATATCATCAAAACTACATGGACCCCTAACTATGTCCAATAATAGTCTCAGATAATACTCTTCTCCATACTCAGTCGGTGATTCGTCCACAACACAAGCACCAGAATTTCCTTTTAGTCTTGGCCTCCATGTCCTATTTTTACGATCCCATACAAACGTAGAAGGAATCTCCGAGTATAAAAGATTCATTGCCTCTGGATAAGACTGATTACACCTAAACCAAGCAAGGAATTTAGGTTTTTTAGCAGGAACACGTCTATCTAAATTATTAGAAAACACAATATTTTCCCCCGGGAGATGAAACGGCATAACTTGCCAATTAACACGTGGTCGCTTGTGAGCACCTAGACATGTACAATAGAACAACAATCATATATACAATAAGAACAATTAATAAAATACCGTAAAGAAAATTAACGATTAGTGACATCCTCAAAAACGTAATACAAAACTCATTTACCAAACGCTTTCATCGAAGAACCCGAATGCAAACAATTCTAACAATGCAGGCTGATAACCCGTGAAGTCGCGATAGACGCATATATATACCTATACCGAAATATATGCATATATATAGAGATATAAGAGTTATGTGGTTTACGCGTTATTTATTTTTTTTCTAGGGTTTCTTAGAATGTTTTCCTTTATTTACATTTTATACACACCTCTCAACTACCGAGTTTTTCCTTTTTAATAACTAACATCTCAACTACCGAGTTTTTCCTTTTTAATAACTAATTAATCAATTCATTCAAACACCAAGATTTCCATAGCTACTAAATGAAAAAAAAAACAAAAATTGTGGAATGATCGGGGATATATTCGAATCCTATTAGATATTTATAAATATAAATTACTTGGAGTCCAAGAAATCAATAAAACAATCCATTCAAACACCATGATTCTCATAAACACTAAATGGAAAAAACTAAAAGTTATGATATGATCGGGGATATATTCAAATCTTCTTAAATATTTATAAATATGAGTTACTTGGAGTCCAAGAAACCAATAAAAGCATGCGTTATTTATGTGAATATATAACTTATATTATTTTCTCCGCTCTATATACTTCAATATCAAACAACAATAATAATTTCATTAAAAAAATATATTTATTGATTGAAATAAAGAGGTCTGAAGAACAAAGAATAATTAAACTATAATTTGTATACATGGTAAAAATGATATTCAATGTAGACGTCATAACATTATTCATTGTAGACGTGCCACACTACCACGCGTGCATGGCCTCTTACGCGGATATCTGCATTGTTATAAAAAAGACTTGAGAGAGAGAGAAGGCGACCACAAATTAATACCAAAAAGTCAAAATACAAACATTAAGTATTAGAAACTCACTGTTCCAAAAACTCATCTAACTCAGGAATATGGGGATTGAGTTCGAACTTAGTAGGAGATGTGGAAGATATAGTGATCTTGCCTATATTGATAAACCAAATACAGAGTCAAAACAATAAAATGAAACGAACATAGAGAATATAAATTAGTATACTAAAAATACCTCCAAAATAATCAATAACAGCCCATCTAAGCACACACACAATGATATCTTGATCACATCGTCTCCAAGATGCATAAAAGTTTTTCGCCATCTCACCGAACAATTCACAACTCAAATCAACACCACTAAATTAAAACATGCCACACATATTCAGATGGATAGAATAATTAAAACGACATTATACAGTTTAAAACATTCAGCAGACAATACCGTTTATCTCTAAGACAGAACGTGACGGTTGAATATGAACCCCATATCTCGGAATCACATATATCATTACATAGACTGCCATATGAATGAAAAGAATGCTCTCCAGTCAGTAAACCACGGGACGTTCCAGATAGTCTTACATTTAAGACACGACCTATCAAATCTTCATAGACAACAAAAATTAAACAATGTTAGCATCAGTAAGATAACAATAAAGAAATTCAATAACTAAATCAAAAATAAACACACCAACTAAATAGTCATCATCATGGGAACGATCCAATATCCTTTGAAAATCAACGAAGTCAAAATAGGCATTTTCACATCTACGTGAAGTCTTGTCAATGATAGTTGATGGTAGGAACAATATTTTGTATCTATGAGAAGTCGGTCTACAACTATCCTCACAATCAGTAACAGAAAAACGACTGATAATAATCCAACTACCAACATCTATGCGAGACGATGCAACACTGATCTCACCATCACTAACAGTGGCCTGAATTTTTACACCCTGTGAATAAAACAGTCAATTAGACACCGACTAAAATTTATAATACTTTTGTGTAATAGTACAATAAATACCTGTTCATCTGACAATATGAGCTCCATAGAAGAACGTTTCGAAATTAGCATATGCACCCACGTTTGTAAAACCTTAACAAAGATAGTACAATCATCTTTGGAAGGACTCAAACGTGAAACACACTTACCAAAACACATTGAACCAAGAGAAACTGTATAAGTACACACCGAATCCTGGTGTCCAGATATACTAATATTCTTTTCGATGAGTATATCACTCAGTTCGACGTTTCGCTGATCTTCACTATCATCGTCAATATCAGTCTCATCATCCAACATAACATCTTCATCATCATTTTCATTATCATCAGTTGAATCGGCATCGTCGTCATCTTCATCTTCGTCATCACCGCTATCATCTTCTGAGCTATCACTTGAACCATCAGATTCTTCACAAGTCTCATCATCGTCAATAAAATCATCCTCAGAATCATACTCATCTGTTGGGTCCATATCATCAGTATCTTCACCCGTCTCTGAATCAGACCTCATATAATCCTCAAAACCATAATCATCATCAATACCACGACCCGATGAAACCTCAGTATCATCAGAGTCACTATCTTCTGCATAGATAAATATATGTAAAAACGATGTAATTAGTATTCTAAAAAAACATAAAAAACAGTGTTCAAAACAAAAAAAAAGAATTGAAACCATTAGATTCTTTATTCATAACCCAAGCATTCCTCGCAAAATCCCATAGAAAAGTCTTCTGAGCATGATCACTCGTATTAACACGATCAGAAACTAAATACACAAAACAAACATTAGAGCAAACATAAAGACTTAATATACACCATTAACAAAAATATATTACATTAAGAGCGGAAATACCTCCTTTGATAAAAAGCTCGTGATCAAGAATAGATATATGATACGAAGAATCAATATCTACATAAAAATTGAAAACGTTCATAGACTAATATATAATAAGGGTATGCATCTGAAAGGCTAAGATATAGCATTACAAAAGGTAAAAACTGTAAGATTAATAGATAGGACTACCTTCGATAACAGGATTATATGTCCGCAAGGTCCATTCATCGATAGCAGAATCGATAAGTAGCTTGCATGGATAACCTACAAATACAAACAACTACTAATAAGTATTATAAATTGAATGAATAAACTAAAGAGGTTCAACAACCTTTTTTTTTGGTGATATCCACGAAAACATATGGAGTCACGTAACGATAATCAGTCATGTCTTTGTTATCCATATTCTGACGATGCGATTTCAACACAGACTTTAACCCGCGAGCATAAGCCTGGTTATCAAAACCTATAGTCGTATAAATTTTTAGAATTCATCTAAAAAAATTGAGAGCATACATACTATTATTAAATTTGATAATAGTTATACATATATACCAGAATCGGTAGACGGAACTTCCCAAGTGATTCTGACTTTAGATGGATGATCAAAGCTGTACTTAGAGGAACACATTGTTAGCTTTGCATGCAAATAGACAAACATGCTGAATCTTTTCTAAAGAGATCCAAAAAGTTAATGCTATAATAAAAAACCTAGCAAAATAATCACAGAACCCTAATAGAAAAACTAATGCGTTAATTATGAGAAGCTTGGTTGAAAACGCTCATATTTATACGTCTAAACAACCTAGGGTTTATTTTCTTGTGAAAAATACTAAAATGTAATTATTGATCTACATGCGATATTATCTTCCCATGAATTTCGTAGCTATCTATAATAAAAATGTAAAGATTCCATTGTAGATAATAACAAAGAAATTATGGAATATTCCCTTTTACAAAATATTTAATAAATATAAAATATTTCCAAAAATAGAATTAAAAAAAAAAACACTAATTACAGGATTCGAACCCGTGAACCTTCGATAAATGGACAAAGCACTTAACCAACACACTACCATCTCAATCAGCACAAATGACGTATTGGAAGGTATGTATATGTTTTTTGGGTTTGAAATTTTTTTGAGGATTTGATTAAAGAAGTTTTCCATTTTTTAGCAACTAATATCGATTTTAATGATTTAAAGTTAACTAATTCAACCAATCAAATTATAACAATTATCAACCAATCAAATCCTACTTGAATTAAAGAAGTTTTCCATTTTTTAGCAACTAATATCGATTTTAATGATTTAAAATTAACTAATTCAACCAATCAAATTATAACAATTATCAACCAATCAAATCCTCATAATTTCATTAATCAAAACGACACAGAAATCTGTGCGTTAAATCACAGCCCGAATCACTTCACAAATACTAATATAGATAAGCATTTGGACTTGTAATATTGAGTTTGTGTATGAATAAGAAATGAAGTTTAATAAGCAAATGGGCCTTATAAATTCATTTAAGATTTGGGTTTGAGCCTATAGAAATGAAATATTCCTATTAATTTTAACTAAAAGTAGAAGTTTAGTGGAAGTGTATTTGTCCCACATTGCTCACCAAGGAGAAAAATCTCTTGTATATATATGGTTTTCTCACAATAAGGGTCAGCATCATTGTGGAAGTAAAAGGGCATTATGCAAAAACACCTACGCGCGCCGCCGCCGTTGCCGGTGCCGGGCTCGTTGCTCGTTGCTCATTGCATTTTTTAGTTGGCTCTTGGGCTCTATTTAGCTGGGTGTGGGTCGTGGGCATCTTAGTTCCTGCGAAATATTTTTTTGCATATTGAAAGGATAAATCTTAAGAAATAAAAGATTGCGTCCAGATAATAACGGAAGATTTCCGAATCCTTTTACTTGCAGAAAAAGGAGAATATTTTGTGAATATTCCTTTTCGCCAAAGCTTATTCCTTGCGGATCAAGCTGAACCTTCCAGTATAAATAGACGCCATCTTCTCTCATTCTAGATCATCGAATTATAATCGAATTCTCGAATACTCCAAACACACAGCAAATAATTCTTTCCAGCAACCCTCTCGTCTTAATATCGTAAGTGTCTCGAGAGCTATAGCGTAGTATAATTTCAGTTCGCAGATTCTTTTACGGGTGTTGCGTAATAGTCTCATCACGGTTGTATCCTGGGATTCAAAAATCGCAATAAACCGTCACACATTACGGGCGATTTATTGAGTTAAGGAAAGAGATCATATCTCGACTCCGTGTTTTCGTCTGTTTTCAATCGGTTTTCTAACTCTCGTTTTAATCTCTTACCTTAACATATCGTTTATAATATTGCTATTTTCTATTCGTGATTTCAATCGGATTTTCGCGGTCTTACACATAGTTTGTCTCCAAATACTATTTGAATTAGCTATAGGGATCAATCTTGTGGAGTAGTTTGTGGCAAACTCAATCTTTTTCTTTTACGAATCCGTCTTCCTCACTTTTGTCAAGCGTTTCTTTTACGAATTAGTGAACTCAAAATCTCTACACTCACTAAAATTCCATTAATGAGCAACTTAAAGAATTAAAACCTATACTTGTTCCAAGTAGCACATAAGAAATCCTCAATAGAGTGCTAAAAAAGAAACATGAATCCAAGTGAAATCATAAACAGGCAATGTCTTAATCGAAGGTATGTTCTTCTACTTCAGAGAGACTAACGAAGAAATAGAATGGGCACAACACAATAATCGTTTAGGATTTCATTACATAATCATCTCCACTAATTCACCAATTCAAGTTTCTGTAACCTTAGACTTTGGTTTCCTTTTAATTTTTTTTTTGCTCAAATGAGATTTTATAGATTAGCTACGCTCCATTAGAGGAGGAATTGTTTACAAACAATAACAAAGCCAACATGGCTAACAAATTGACAGCTACAAGCGCCAAACGAAGAACATAAGAGCAGAAGATAGGACTTTAGTCGACTTGAAATAAGTTTAAGCAAAGTCTTCACACGTAAAATCTATGGTCGGATATTAGAATAGTCAAAGTCTTTCGTAAGCAATTTTTATTTATTTTTTCCTTTGGAAAATCTCCTAACCACCCGTATTGGAGAAAGATGTGTTATCTTAGAGCATGTGCAATGGGGTATTTAACCCGTCTCTACCTAATTTCGCTTAATTAAATAAATCAAAAACAATAAAAAGGGAGAGAGACGTCGCCTAAATTGGATCTGAGAGAAACATTTCTCTACACACACATGGCGAAAAATCATTGGACTAAAAAAATGGAGAAGAGAAATTTTTTTTTGGGTCCTCAAACAATTTTTCATCTCCCAAAAACCATTTTCCTCTCTTCTTTCTTCGTTATCTCCGTCGAATCGCAAGTCGTCAATTCATCGGAATTCTTTGTCAGCAATTTTCAGACGGTGGCGGCGATGTCTTCTGAACAGCTGATTGGCGGAATCGAGGAGTTGTGAAGGCTTGAAGCTTCTGGATCCATGGAACCGTTGGAGAAGGTAAACGAAGAATCGATTGAAATTGTTCTGATTTTTGGGTTTAGATTGAATATCTCGGATGAAATGGTTTACTGAAAGGGTTCAGAGGTAGCGATGATTGGTTGTGCTTGGATATGTATGCTGATTTAGGTTTTTGATGATCGGATGAAATGGTTTCGACAAATGATTTGTCTTGGCTGATTAATGGTTTTGTCTTTTGTCTTCTGATTTCGTTTAGGGTTTACGATGATTGGGTACAATTTTTAGTTTGTTTTGATCGACGAATGATAGATGACTTTGTTTTGATCTTTAAGTATCGATAATTTTGTTTTGCTCATTGTGGCGATGAGTTTGTATGAGTTTGTGAATGGGTTTAAAGTTTATTCTTTGGTTTGTAGTTGAAGTTCATTAACTCTGAGTGTGTATTACTTGTCTTGTTTGTGTAGTTGTAGTTCATTAACTCTTGTGTGTATAGTTGATGTTCAACTAACTCATATTTACTGTTGTTTTTGTTCTCTGCACAAGGAGTAAATGGAGATGGAATGACATGAAGAGGAGAGAAGAAGCAAAGCGGTTTAGGATATCATCACCCGCCTAAAAAGGTTAGCTTCAATCACTTCCTAGTTACTTGTAGTAAATGCTATTTTGATGTGGGTTTAAGTCGTGTTAGATAATAAATGGAATAGGGGATTAGTTAATGTTAAAGTTAGATATGTGTCAAGTCTCTTCTGCTTGTGATCAATGCATATTGTGTTAGGTTGGGTTGAATGCTTGTGTTTAGGGTGTAGTTAATGTTTATTTTTTGAACTCGGACACTTTTGTTCCCTCTTCTTTCATGCTAGTATAAAGCACTCTCTTTCTCATCTCTTTGAACTCGGACACTTTTTTAAGCTCATCTCTTCTTTCTTATCTTCTCGTATCACTTCCAAAAAATATAGTTTTCTCTTCTTTCATCTCTTCTCGTATCAGTTGCAATCCTTCTTGTCTTCTCTTCTTTTGTCCAAGGATGTCTTCTCCATTTCCCTTTAACAACACCTTAAACTTTGTTGATCTTTTACAAAGTCAACAAGAGAGTGTGTCACCTTACCCAAATCCATACCTTTCCTTCGAAAACCATGCCTTCGGTACCCAAGCTTCTACCGAAGAAGTAGAAGAGGTTGGAGTGACGAGCAAGGTGATTAGACAACCGTGGAGTCCTGCGGAAGATACCCTGCTCATCAGCTCGTGGTTGAACACCTCGAAGGACCCGGTTGTAGGAAATGAACAAAAGTGGCACTTTTTGGCGTCGCATTGCTTTGTACTTTGCGGCGAATCAAAAGGGAGGAGAAATCCGAGAGTCTGGGCAGTGCAAACAAAGATGGCACAAGATTAATGATCTTGTGTGCAAGTTCTGTGGGGCTTATGAGGCTGCAACAAGAGAAAGAACAAGTGGTCAAAACGAGAATGACATTTTCAAAAATGCGCATGCTATTTTCTTCAATCTCCATAAGAAGAAATTCACTCTCGAATACGCTTGGAAGGAACTGAAGAACGACCAAAAGTGGTGTGATTTGTCAACCAGTAAAACCGATGGCAGCTGTAAAAGGAGGAAGACGGAGGATGCAAATGCAGAGGGAAATGGAGATGGAAACAATACTTGTTCGGGAAACGAGCTTTTATAGAAAGAAATCGAGAAGAAGGCCACATAAGATTATGAAATGATTACTTCAGCGAAAACGCAATTTATCCCGACCACCTTTTCCGACGACGTTTTAGAATGAACAAGGCATTGTTCTTGCGTATTGTTCATCGGCTCTCCAACGAAGTCAGTTTCTTTAAACAGAGAAAAGATGCCCGGGGTAGACTTGGTCTATCTGCACTTCAGAAGTGTACAGCCGCAATTCGTCTCTTAGCTTATGGCACGGCACTTGATACCGTTGACGAATACCTACGACTAGGTGCAAGTACAGCTCGTTCATGTCTGGAAAATTTTGTTGAAGGAATTATAAATCTCTTTGGCGATGAGTACCTCAGAAGACCCACGGCAGAAGATCTTCAACGTCTACTTTATTTTGGAGAGGAACGCGGATTTCCTGGGATGATAGGAAGCATAGATTGTATGCATTGGGAATGAAAGAATTGTCCAACCGCTTGGAAAGGCCAGTATGTACGAGGTGCTGGAAAACCGACAATAGTCTTAGAAGCGGTTGCTTCATACGATCTCTGGATTTGGCATGCGTTTTTTGGACCGCCAAGTACCCTTAATGATCTTAATGTTTTGGATCGCTCACCCGTTTTTGATGACATTATAAAAGGTCGAGCTCCGAAAGTTAATTTCTTTGTCAATTGAAAGGAGTATCATCTGGCATACTATCTAACTGATGGTATATATCCAAAATGGGCAGCTTTTTTCCAATCTATTCCACTACCACAAGGCGAAAAAGCATGTTTATTTGCTGAACGTCAAGAAGGTTATCGAAAAGATGTCGAGCGTGCTTTTGGAGTCTTGCAATCTCGATTTGCCATTGTCAAAAATCCGGCTTTGTTTTGGGATAAAGAAAAAATCGGAAAGATTATAAGAGCTTGTATCATACTCCACAATATGATAGTAAAAGATGATAGAGAAGGATAAAGTTCTAAACCCTAACTTCTTTGAGAATATAAGATTGCCAAAACACCTTTTATTGCTTTAAGAAAACTCACTCAAAAACTTAAAGCCTCAAAGCTCTCTCTATAATCTCATGAGTCTACCACACTTTGGTAACTTCATATATATAGAAGAGAAGACTTACAAATTCCTAAACCTTATAGAAATAGAAAACTTCTTATAGATGACTCCTAAGGTATATTTAGATATCTCCTAAATATATTAAATTTTCCTAATCCTTTTAGGAAACTTGTTTCTCAAGCTTTGTTCAAGCTTAGTTCAACAATCTCCCCTCTAAGCTTGAAATCTTCTTGTGACACTCCTTGCACTCCTATAAGCTCCCTCATCTCTTTGAACTTATTTCTTCCCAAAGCTTTGGTCAAGATGTCGGCCTTTTGTTCACTTCCAGGGACATGCTCAACCTCGATCTGGTCATTCTCATCACACTCACGTATGAAATGGTACCTGCGGTGAATATGCTTGCTGCGTCCATGAAACACTGGATTTTTTGAAAGAGCAATTGCTGATTTGTTGTCCACGCGAACTGTCACTCTTTCACACTTTGTTCCGATAACTTCTGCAAACAATTCTTGAAGCCATATAGCTTGCTTAGCTGCCTCAGTAGCCGCCATAAATTCTGCTTCACAAGAGGACAATGCCACAACTTCCTGCTTCTGCGTGCACCATGAGATTGGGCAGCCATTAAGATAGAATATGTGACCTCCTGTACTCTTCCCATCATCCATGTCTACATTGTGACTGCTGTCACTGTAGCCTACCAAGCCTTTATCTCCTCCACGTTTGAAATAGAGACCGTGAGACAATGTTCCTTGTAGATACCTTAACACCTGTTTTAGTGCAGCTCCATGTGATTCCCTCGGTTCCTGCATGTATCTACTTAATACTCCAACTGCAAAAGACAAATCTGGTCTAGTGTGCAAGAGATATATGAAACATCCAATCTTCCTTCTGTACTCATGTTCGTCAATGTGCTTTTGCTCTTGGGACTTGCAGAGTTTTAGGCCAGAGTCCATCGGTATGTGACATGAGTTGCATTCATTCATTCCTGCTTCTTCCAAGATTTTCTTTGCATATCTTTCTTGCTTCAGTATGATCCCTTTCTTATCTTGAAGAACTTCGATTCCTAGGTAGTATGTAAGCTTCCCTAGATCACTCATCTCAAATTTCCCTGCCATATTCCTTTTGAAATTGAGAATTAGATCCAAGCTTGAACCAGTGACCAGCAAATCGTCTACATATACAGCCACTAGAAGAAGATACTCCTTATCTTGTTTACGATAGAGAGAAGGTTCCTTTGAACACCTTTTGAAGCCTAACTCACTTAGAATTTTGTTGAGTTTGGTGTTCCATGCCCGTGGTGCCTGTCTAAGTCCATAGAGGGCTTTGTGTAACTTATAGACCTTCTACTCGCTTCCAATGATTTGAAAACCTTCTGGCTGGGTGACGTAGACATCTTCTTTCAATTCGCCGTGAAGGAACGCGATTTTAACATCCAAGTGATGCACTTCCCATCCGTTTGAAGCAGCTAGTGCAAGAATAAACCTAACCGTTTCTATTCTTGCTACCGGAGCAAATACCTCGTCGAAGTCGACACCATGTTTCTGTACATAGCCTTTTGCTACTAGTCTGGCTTTGTACTTATTTATGCTGCCATCTGAGTTTCGTTTGATCTTAAATACCCATTTAAGACCAATTGCTTTGCATCCGCTTGGAAGATCAACAAGACTCCATGTTCTGTTTTTGTTTATTGATGAAATCTCTTCATTACAGGCTTCTTTCCACTCTTTTATCTTGCTTGCCTCTTGAAAGTCCCATGGTTCCTCATTGATTACTAGCAGGAGATATTCTCCTTCCATCTCTGCTAGCATTACGAAGTCCTCCAGATGTCGAGGCTTTACAATAGTTCTTGTTGACCTTCTCAAGGCCGGTTGTGCATCTTCTTGCTCTGCATTCTCTGTTTCGTTAAACTCGTCTCTATCATTACTGTTGTCTCCTTCATTCTCTTCTGTTTCTTCGATAGATTCTTCCTCTTCTGTTCTCATGTTCTCACTTCTTCCAAAGTTAATTGTGAACGTCCCTGTTTCATTCTGGAAATCTGCATCTGAGTTGTTCCACTTCCAACTCTTATTCTCATCGAACACAACATCTCTGCTAACTACAATCCTGCGTTTTGTAGGTTTGAGAAGGCGATAGGCTTTAGATCCGGGTTCTGTTCCAAGATATACTAACATCTGCGATCTGTCGTCTAACTTTTTTAGATACGGACCCTCAATCTTTGCATAGCTCACGCAGCCAAATACTCGTAGGTGCTCCACATTTGGTTTCTGCATTTGAAAGCTTCATATGGTGTTTGATTTTGGAACGATCTGGTCTCGACTCTATTTATGAGATACGTTGAGTGTCTCACCGCTTCTCCCCACAAGTAGTTAGGCATGTTCATATGCTTTAACATACTTTTAGTCATCTCTAAGAGAGTCCTATTCCGCCTTTCGACGACGCCGTTCTGCTGAGGCGTGTATGGTGCTGTTAGGTGTCTGTTGATACCTTGTTCTTCACAGTATGTTTGGAACTCCTGAGACATGAACTCCCCTCCTCGGTCAGTTCTGAATGTCTTGATACTTGTTCCAGCTTCTAGTTCGACTGCAGTTTTGAAAGCTTTGAACTTCTCAAATGCTTCGCTCTTCTCCTTTAGTAATACCGACCACATATATCGTGAGAAGTCATCGATTAAGACAAATATGTACTTCCTTTTTGCAGCTGTTGGGGGCGAGATTGGTCCACAGAGATCGCCATGAATGAGTTCTAAAACTTTTGTTGCTCGATATGTTTCTTGTTTTGGGAAGGATTTTGTTACTTGCTTCCCAAGTAGACATGATGTACAGGTATCCTTTTCTTTCGGCGGATTAGTTATTCCGATAACTAGTTCCTTTGCTGCCATAGACTGGATGGTTTCGGTGCTGATATGCCTTAGACGGGCATGCCACCTTGAGTCTTTGGATGCCATGATCTGCAGACACTTAGTGTTCTCAACCTCCAACGCCACTTTGTATAATCTATTCCTCGATCGTATTGCTTTCACCAGCAAGTTCCCTTCTCGATCATGTAATGTGAGATAGTCTTCTCTCATCCTCACATCGCATCCTGCTGCAGTAGCCTGTCCTAAGCTTATTATGTTGCTTTTGAGATCTGGTATATAATAGACATAGGCTAGTATCTTCTTATCACCGTTTTTTGTCATGAACAGGATCGAACCCTTCCCTTTGATGTCTATACGTGAATCATCTCCGAATCGTACTTTCCCTGTGATCATCTCGTTGATTTTTGTGAACCAGGTTCGATTTCCTGTTATGTGGTTACTGGCACCGTTGTCTAAATACCACTCTCTATCGGATCGTGTCTCGAACTCCTTTGGTTTCACATTCTTTTCGTTAAGATACACAATTTCGTGCATTAGAAGGGATTCCGCCTTTTGTGTATCATCCTCTGCTTCGTTTTCTTGTGTTTCCTGGAGTTTAAGTAGACGATCCGGGCAACTCGCTGCATAATGTCCTGTCTTGTCACACCGATAGCAAACAACCTTTGATAAGTCTCTTGGTTCATACGATCTCTCGTTTGATCTTCCGCGTCCTCTTCCTCTGTTATAGAAACGTCCTCCTCGACCTCTGTTTCTATTTTCATTATTCTGACTCCGGTTTTGCTGAGTTTCTGTATTTGCATACATCAACTTGCTCTGTTCTTCTTGAGTTTCCTCGGTTTGCTCTGATACCAAATAAAGTTCTAAACTCTAACTTCTTTGAGAATATAAGATTGCCAAAACACCTTTTATTGCTTTAAGAAAACTCACTCAAAAACTTAAAGCCTCAAAGCTCTCTCTATAATCTCATGAGTCTACCACACTTTGGTAACTTCATATATATAGAAGAGAAGACTTACAAATTCCTAAACCTTATAGAAATAGAAAACTTCTTATAGATGACTCCTAAGGTATATTTAGATATCTCCTAAATATATTAT